GATCCCTGGAATCCCCCCTACCCTGATCCAATGGATCCCACCTCAGGAACATCCCCCTGCCCCAATTGATCCCCAGAGGATCATCCCCTTCCACATCCCAATCCAAACCCAGGGATGAGACACGACCAAGAAGAACCTCCCAAAACACCAACTTCTCCTCCCCTCACCCCCCCCCAAAAAGATTCCCCCAAGGGATCTCCTCACCTCTCCTTGGACAAGAAGAGCTCCTGCAGGATCCCCTTCTCCCTGTCAGCCTGGGTGAAACGTTCCCTGCTCCCGCTTCCCGGCACCACCAGAGGAGCAGGGAGATCCAGAAGTTTGGGGTAGACCCAGGGGACTTTCTCCTCCATGGTGTCGTGGCTGAGACGTCGGGCCTTGTCAAAGGCCTCTCTGTCCAAGCGCAGCTCCCGTTTGGCTGCTTCCCCAAAGTCCTTGATCTTGTTGACATTGACTGGGAAAAAAAGACACCCCAATCAAAACGTCACCTCTGGGAGACCCTCCCTGAGGTTGGGAAAGGAGCTTCTCTCTCAGGACTCACCTCGTTCTGTCTCATCCAGCTCAAAGTAGAAATATTCCCGGAGTTTGGCTTCTTCTGGCCAACTCACTGTCTTCTTTTTCCGGCCTTTTTTGGTCATTTGGCCACTTTCTGGGGGGTTTTCCATGTTTTTGGAATCACCATTTCCCTCTGAAGAGCCTAGAGGAGGAATGAAAGGGGTTCAACACTCGTTCGTGACCCCCAAGGAGGGGTTTTGCTGGGTTTTGAAGCCCCCACACGTACAGGTTTCCATGGGTTCTGGGACCTCCACGGCCGGGACCGGCGTTCCCGGCCGATCCGTCTCCATCGGTTCCGTCGCCGCGTTGGGCTCAGGGGAAGAAGGTTTGGTGGAAGCAGCTTCAGGAGGAGCCTTCCCCTCGAAGGGACTGGGCTGGAAGCGGGGGAAAAAGGGGTTATTATCCTTCAGGAGACTCCTAGGAAAGGGATTCTGGTGATTCCAGGTGGGATTTCCTCACCTTGGCAGCCGTGGGGGATAAAACCTTCTTCTTCTTCTTGATTTTGATGCCGGGAACGGGAGCGGAGTTGAGGGCGTCGAGGAAGCCAAGGCCTTCCATGGCTGGGGGGAAGTCACCAAAATGATCAGGATTGGCCTCAAAATGGCCACAGAAAAGGACATAAAATGATCCCAAAAGGGGGATCTAAAATGGTGGTCAAAGGGGGTTCAAAATGGCACCAAAAGGGGCCCCAAAATGGGCCTCAAAATATCGTCAAAACGGCCACCAAAGGGGCCGTAAAAAGTTCCCAGAAGGGGCCTCAAAATGGCTGACAAAAGGGCCCCAAAAAGGTCCCAAAAGGGACCCCAAAAAGGCTGCCAAATGGGCCCAAAAAAGGCCACCAAAAGGGCCAAAAAATATCCTCAAAATGGCAGCCAAAGAGGCCCCAAAACAGCCAAAGGGGCCTCAAAGAGGTCCCAAAAGGGAGCCCAAAATGGTGGAGAAAGAGGCCCTAAAATGGCACCCAAAAGGCTCCCAAAATAGCCAAAGGAGCCTCAAAAAGGTCCCAAAAGGGGCCCCAAAATGGCTGCATAAGGGACCCCAAAAATGGGCCCCAAAAAGGGCCCCAAAATGGCGGCCAAATGGGAACCAAAATGGTACCCAAAGGGCTCCCAAAATGGCCACCAAAGAGGCCCCCCTCAAGGTCCCTAAAAGCCCCCCAAAAACATCCCCAAACCCTCCAAAATGTCCCCCCACTCACTCTAGGGGGGGATCTGAATCCCAAAACAGCACCTGCATTGTCCTCAAACCCCCCAAAATGTCCCCATAACCCCCCAAAACGTCCCCCCACTCACGCTGGGGGGGGATGATCTTGACTTTGATCTCCTTGGTGGCGTTGGGGGCCGTGTTGAGGGGCTTGTATTTCTTCTCAGCTGGGGGGGCGTCCCCAGGGAGGGAGGTGACACTGAGGGGGGACACACACACAGGTCAGGGGGACACCAGGGACCCCCCCAAACCCAACCCAGACACCCCCAAAAGCAGCCGAGACCCCAAAAGTGGGTCTGAGACCCCTCAAAGCTGCCCCCAGAGCTCCAAAAGCAGCCTCGACCTCATGAGTGGGTCTGAAACCTCCCAAAGCAGCCCCCCAGGCCCCCAAAGTAGCCCCCAGACCCCAACCCCAAAACCAGCCCCCACCCCCCCCCTAAAGGTGCCCCCAGCCCCAAGACTCCCCAAAAGCAGCCCCAGACCCCCCAAAAGCAGTCCCCAGACCCTAAGAGTGGGTCTGAGACCTCCCAAGCAGCCTCAAGACCCCCCAAAGCAGCCCCCAGCCCCTAAGAGTGGGTCTGAGACCTCCCAAAGCAGCTTCAAGACCCCCAAAAGCAGCCCCCAGACCCCCAAAAGCAGCCCCCAGACCCCCCAAAAGCAGCCCCCAGCCTCACTTCTGCCTCTTGATGGGCACAGGCTTCAGGTTGTATTTGTCTGCACTGGAGGCCGAGTTCACCTTCTTCACGGGCACCAACGAGGGCGTCTCCATTTCCAACCCTGGGGGGGACAAAACCCAACATCATCAGACACTGCAGCCCCAAAAACCCCTCAAAGTGCCCCAAAAAGGTGCAGGAGGAAGAGGAGGAGTTACCAGTGGAGCGGAACTTGGCGTGACTGGGAGCTGTGGTCCTGAGGGATTTGGGTTTCTCCCTCTTTTTTTCAGGCACCTCCTCAGTTTTGGCCTCAGTTTTGGCCTCTTGGGGTTTCTCAGGGATGGGGGTTTTGGGTTTGTTTTCTTCTTTTCTTCTCTTTCTGTCTCGTTCTGGGGGGGATAAAAAGGAGGGAGAAGGGTGTGAGGGAGGGATTAAGGGGGGAAAAGG